CTGCAGGAAAAAATGCCCTCAAAACACTCTTCTCGGGCTGGGGATGTGGCTTGGTGGAAGAGTACTTGCCTTAGGATCTAAATCAAAGTCATGCCCTCATCTTGAAATAATTATCATTCTTTAAAAATTTTCTCGTCCTTTTGAGACAGGGTCTCCCTGTAGCCCCAGCTAACCTGGAACTCACTATGTAGACCAGTCTGGTCTTGAGCTCATAGAGATCCCCCTGCCTTTGCCTCCCAAGTGCTGGAACTAAAGGCATGTGCTTCATTGCCTGGCCTCTTTAAATTTTTTTTTTTTTAAAGAGAAATCAGTAAGATTGCTCAGTGGGTGAAGATGCTTGTTACTAAGCCTGAGTTCGATCTCTAGGGCCCATATGGTAGAAGGAGAACCAACCCCTAAAAGTCATCTTTGACCTCCACATTCACAACATGACATATGTACCCACACATATACAAACACAAGAAAGAGAGAAAGCAAGAGACAGAGAGAGAGAGAGGAGGGAGGTGGAGGGAGGGAGGGAGGGAGGAAGGAAGGAAGGAAGGAAGGAAGGAAGGAAGGAAGGAATTTTAAACGAATAATAAATTTTAAAAAGAGATCTAAGTGTGCAACTGGGTATGACATGAAATTGCACACTTATTTTGGGAACATAATCCATGGAACCTGAGCTACATACCATGAACTGAATATTATTTCATCAATGAAATCACACAGTTGGGCATGGAGAGAAGTCGTATATACAGGGTCAGGCACACACAGGTCTTTGAGGAATGGCAATGCAAGAGCAAGTGACTCCATCATATTTAGTGCTTCCCTCTCTTGAGCAGCTTCCTCGTCCTCAGTCCACGCTAGTCATCACATGGGGAACACAAGCCCCTGCTAACTGAGCAAGGCAGAATTCAGGCCTGTGTTACATGTGGTTCTCCACAACATGCTTCCACAATTATGACACCAATATGGAGTGTCTTTGAAAGACAAAAGTAAAGACAGTAGAACCCCTTTGACCAGTGCTTCTGGTTATATACTTTACACAGTAAAGAGAGTCCAGACGTGTGGATGTACAGCATTCAAAGGGGATAGCTGACATGTTAGCAAATGGTCAGAGACTGAAAGAACAAGATCAAAAAACTGATGACGAGGAGACATGAGGCCACAGTATAGTCAAAATGTGAGGACGTTTGATATCATGAGACGTTTATCAAAGGGCAACCACTACAGAGAAGACCTTCACTAATCAAACTGACAAGATATTTCATCCTGTGATGTCTGCCAGACTTTCTCTAGCACCCCAGAGTTTGCTCAGTAGGCTCATATATAAACAGATGAGCAGGAATGGAGGTCGCACATGAACTCAACCCCAAGTTCCTTTTACAAAGTTGAACTTGCTGCCATCACTGCTGAATACCTAACCAGCTAAGAACAAAGGCTGAGCCACCAATAGGGCCTCACTTCCTAGGAACAGCACCTACCTTGTTACTACTGATGGTGGCTCCCTTCTCTAATGGAAGGGCCAGCAACCTGTCCTCACTAAAATGGATAATTCTTCTATTTATTAGTCAGGGTTCTCTAGAGGAACAGAACCAATAGAATGAGCATGCATTACAAAAGGCGATTGATTCAATTGACTTTACACAATAGGTACTGGGTACTCCAACAGTAACTGGAGAGGCTGAGAACCAGCAGCTTTTCACCTTGGGAAGCTGGATGTCTCAGCAGTCCCAATCTGACACTGAAGGCCAGGATTCCTGGAGAGTTGACTGTTGTTGGAAGACCTAAAAAGCTGGGTTCTGGTGTCAGTGAAGGAAGGGTGAGATAGGCAGATGTGCTCACCAGCAAAAAGTGAAGGCAGGCAACCACACCACTGCTTTTTCCTCGAATCTCCTCTGGGCCACCACGGGAAGGTGCTACCCATCGTAGGGGAGGGTTTTCTCCCCTCAGTTAGTCCTTCCCAGAAACATCCTCACAGATCCGCCCAGAGACCTGTCTATAGTTGATTCCAGATTCAATCACACTGACGATCAAGATTAACCCTCACACTCCAGATATGAATCTGAAGTCCCTTCCTACAGTACCACCAAACTTGATCTTGCAGACATGGCATCCCTCACAAATTGGAATATAAGTGACTCAGTTCACAACAAAAAGATGCAGCAATGAGACTGTGACTGAAATTCATAGGTCTTCCAGGTACCAAACCACCCAGAAGTGAGAATTAGTTTTCTCCAGGGATGAGCTACCTGATAAGTTATCCAATGTGTATAAGTGTTTTGCCTGTATGTAAGTGCATCTGTGCTGTGCAATGCCCAGAAGTCAGGAGAGGGTATCAGATCCCCTGTAACTGGAGTTTGGGATGGTTGTTCCCCATGAGGGTGATGGGAACATTACCTGGGTCCTCTGGAAGAGCAGTCAGTGTTCTTAACTGCTGAGCCATCTCTCCAGCCCCCTTAACTTGATAATTTTAAGATTTTTTTTTATTGCTTTTAGTTTTCTTAGAAACCAGTTTACTCTTAAAGAATCGGAGGTCAGCCTACACACACTTCAAGCTGAAAGAACAGCAGATTTTGAAGCCAAAATATCAATGGAAACAAGATTCTCTTCCTCTAAAGAAGTAACAGTCACTAAGATGACTCAGCAACTTGCTGCCAATCCTGCCCTACAGTGGAAGGAAAGAGCTGACTTCTGCAAGTTGTCCTCTGACCTCCACGTGGTATGCTGTGACATGCACACAAAAATAAGTAGGTAGGTAGGTAGGTAGAAGACAGATAGATGATAGATAGATGATAGATAGACAGACAGATAGATAGATAGATGATGATAGATGATAGATAGATAGATAGATAGATAGATAGATAGATAGATAGATAGATAGATGGAATTTTTTTTTTGTAATTTTGAGACAGGGTCTCCCTGTAGCCCCAGATGGCCTGGAACTTGCTATGTAGGCCAGGCTGGCCTCAAACTCACAGAGATCCACCTGCCTCTGCCTCCTGAATGCTGGGACTAAAGGCATGCGCCACCACACCGGGCCAATAAATGTAATTTTTAAAGAGAAATATCAAAGAGACTATACAGCTTCTTGCTATATAATTTAAAATTTTCTTTTTTCCAAAAACTGTCAAAGTTTAGTGTTCCATTCTAGATGTATATGCATTTGTGAAAACTTCAGACATAAATATCTAAAAAACTAGTAACATTTTTACATAATTTTAGTAGGCAGAAATATAATTAAGTGGAGAGAGTCTTGTTAATACTCAAGCTCCATTCAGGGGCATAGGCTGAAATACAAGGATAAAACTTGGAAAAGACACTATAAAGCATAGAATAAAAGGCATTTTGTAGAGAAGAGTCCAGACATTCTGCTGTGATAGAAGTCAAGCCCAACCCCCTCCTGTTAGTGCTGAATGAAGTCTTGATGACAGTGACCTTTTGTGATACTATATTACAACCCCTTTCAGTTCATCTCAGCCATATGCACAGTATTCTTAGTTCAGGTTTTTTCCTCTATTTTAATTTTCACTAAAACCACAGTAAATCAAATGAAAGGGTAATAAGGACAAGCCCCAATGTTTTTGAAGACCACTTTCTCAGTTTAATATATAGATTCGCTTCAGCTTGTCATGCATGCTCTTCCCCTAGGGAAACCTAATGACATTTGTTGATTGTTCAAGGAAACAAAAAAAGAAACAAAAAAATATAAACACCCTGGTGTGAGTCTACAGAAACTACAAACCACCCTTGTTGGCAGAGCTTCATAAGACGATCAACAGGGAGACATAACTTAATAACAGTGAAAAGAAAATAAGACCAGGGGCTGGAGAGATGGCCCAGCGGTTAAGAGCACTGACTGCTCTTGCAGAGGATCCAGGTTCGATTCCCAGCACCCACATGGTGGCTACAAACCGTCCTTAACTCCAGTTCCAGGGGAATCTGAAGTCCTCTCCTGACCTCCGCAGCATTACACAACACAGGTGCACTCACATACATGCAAGCAGTACACTCATACACGTAAAATAAAATAATAAAGAAAATAAGACCATCAGATTAAACAATCATGACCACAGAGCAACAGTCAAGAAACACTGCTCGTGGGGCTGGAGAGATGGCTCAGTGGGTCAGGTGCTCACTGTGCAAGCATGAGGTCCTGAATTCAGATCTCAAATACTCGTGTAAAAGCAGGCCCAATGGCACACGCCTGTAATCCCAGCACTGAAGGTAGAGGAGGCATGTGGCTTCCAGGGGCTGGCTGGTCAGACAGTCTAGCCAAATATAGCTCAAGATTCAGTGAGAGACTGAAAAAATAAGATTATGCGGCAAGAGAGATGGCCCAGTGATTAAGAGCACTAGCTGCTCTTGTGGAGGACCTGGGTTCAATTCCCAACACCCACGTGGCAGCTAACAACTGTCTGTAACTCCAGTTCCAGAGGATCTGATGGCCTCCTCAGGGTCCTACCTCCAGATGAAGAGCTACAGGCCATCAACAGATGCCAAGTGAGAATCAGTTTTTTCTAGGGACGAGCTCCCTGATAAGTTATCTAATCCTAACTAGTCAGTCTCAAACAGAAGCACACACAAGCATCACTAAATGGACTCAGTGCATTGTATATGTGTGTATATTTATAAATATATGTATGTATATATAACAATAATAATCAAAGAAGAGGACAAGAAATTGAGAGGGACTAGAAATTGGGGGGAACAGTGGGAGGACTTGGGGGGCACTGGGAGGGGTGGGAATAATGCACAGACAATCCTCATGTACGACTTTCACAAAGAATTAAAATTACTTTAAGAAAAGAATTTTAATTTAAATTTACTATCTAGTCTTATACCCAGCAACACCATGTATCTGGAATCCCAAAGAAATATCCATGTCCTATAGAACTTTTTGTGTTGTATTTAATCCAATGATTTATGCAACTGCACAGAGAAATTAGTGTTATATTTTTCTTAACATTCAACTTAAAACATTAGACATAATAAGTTGAATGGGGAGGAATCATGATTAAATGCCAAAAACGTAAACATGAAAAAAGTGAACATGGAAACAAATTGCTTTAAGAAATCATTTAATTACAAGAAAATTAGCCTGAAAATTGCATACTCCCAAACAAATCGTCTGTATAAAAACAACAGCTCATTTACCGCCATCACTTTTTATTTCCAGATAATGTTCCCTCTATTAAACTTAGTCTTTCTGGCAAACATTAGAATATATGGGGTCTTTTCATGTTTACTAGTCCATAAAACAGAACCGACTTTTGTTCTTGGAACGAGTATGATTTTGCTGCAGAGAAACTTTAAAGTGCTCTCTGTGACTCAATCAGCCACTCCCCACACATACTGCAAAAGCAACAACCTAGCCTTGCTGTTTCCCACTCGGTTCCTGTCCCTCGTCTCATTTTAGCAGCCCAAGTACGAGTTCTGAGAAGAGCTTCTTAAGTCCTGCAGTTTCAAATTCCCTTTGTAGCTCATCCAACGTCGAATACTCTTTGACTTCAAAAGCCAGAAACCTGTATTACACAAGAGAAACTCATGAATATGCCTAGATTTGTCAGAGTATAATTACCGATTGAGTTGCTTTTCCAACTGCAATAGGACTAAATTATACCTTTTGTGTTCCGTCTGTACTTTTGTTTCAAATAGTACACTAATCATTCTCTCTTTGCATTTCTTTCCACTTGAGTCCACATCTACTTTGGAGGTTTTCTGAAGAATCAGGTAGTCCTAAATGATAAATCAGTATGTTACAGACATAGCTTACTCTGAATCACAAAGTCCTAGTTTTAAAGGAACCATAACAGTACAAGTTTTATTTTCCTGTGTAAAGAATACTCTCTGAACAGAGCAGTAAGACAGTTGCATGGTGTTTCTGCATAGGTGGTAGATCAATGTTCTGGTGAACGCTAGAGTAAAGAGTAAAGAGTGACAAAATCAAAGTGGTCAAGTTTAACTGTGGACTGGACAGCTACCTAAGTTATTTAAACCCTCTATTATTTAAGCTGGTTATTTAGCTGGTTGTTTAAATCCTCCTGCTTCAGCTAACTGGCTCCATACAAGGGGACGCATAACAGGATGCACCTCCTGGAGAATCTGAGACAACTGCATGAAGGGTAGCTTAACACTTCACAGGCATGCCTGGCCTGCAGAGGATGGAACACAACAATGGTAACTTGTGATTACTAACCCAGCCAAGCCCAAGGTCCAAACTGGAGGCATCTATAAATGCACCTGCACTTTCTCAATCCTAGTAAACAATTGTATAAACTTTTAATAGAAGGGCTGGACAGATGGCTCAGTGGAGACTGATCGCTCTTGCAGAGGATCAGGGTTCGAGTCCCAGCACCCACATGGTGGCTAACAACTCTAGTTCCAGGGGAATCCAACGCCCTGTTCTGACCTCTGCAGGCATTGCACAACACAGGTGCACTTACGTACAGACAGACAAAACACTCACACACATAAAATATTAAAAACAAAAAGGCCAGGCATGATGACACACACCTTTAGTCCCAGCACTTGGAAGGCAGAGGCAGACAGATCTCTGTGCGATCAAGGCCAGCCTGGTATCCATAGCAAGCCTGGTCTCCATAGTAGTTCAAGGCCAGCTGTGGCTACAAGGAGACCTTGTCTCAAAAAGACCAAAAAGTTTTTTAACAGAGAAATCCACATAAACTGCTATTTTTGAGAAAGCTATTTTTAAAAAGAACTTTAAAAAAGTAATCTCTGAATTATTAGAGTTCTAGTCATATGAATAAATACATGCTAATTCATGATTCGATATGAGTAATAGCATCTATAAATGTGTTACATTTATCCTAATATGCCTGAACTGGCTTATAGAAAAATCTGAACATTTGAGTAAATATGAACAAGGAAACTTGTGTGCATTTTTTGTCAGTTCCTATGCTACCCTAAACAATCAAAGTTTATTAGATATGTACAAATTGCCTTAAAATCTGTGGTTGCCCAAGCCAGACAAAAACCTAGCATGGATGGGGGAGGTAAACAAGAAGCCCCAGGTCCAGCAGAGTGTCTATTTGCAATTGATAGCAGCTGGGAGAGGGAGCGTCAGTTTTCTTTACTGGTGTGTCACCTGTTAGGCAGACCAGACTCCAAGAGATAGCCCCCTCAACCAAGAGCACTTGGAAAACAGATTAGACTTGATAGGCCTTAAGAAAAAAAACACCCAACAATGATAGAGGACATGAAGTGGGGTGGGGTGGTAAGGGAGGAGTGTCTGAATATGATCAAAATACATTTTATAAAATCCTCAAATCAATAAAAATATGGTTTTAATCTGTGGTTGCTTGGCCAGGCACCAGTGCAGGACAGATGACATCTGATTCGCTGCTTTACCTTCACACTAGAACCCAGTGTGAACATGATGAAGCAGGTGCCAAATGCATTTTGTGGTAAGAACCCACCTTGAAAAGAGCTGTGCTGCTATTCTGCCAGTCTTTAAGATTATAGGCTGTTCATGCTAAATCTGTTTCAAATAAAGTCTACTGTAATTATTTCTGACCCATCCTATCTGAAAGTATAAAACTTATTAAATGATTTGTAGCCCTTTTAAGATTCAAAATATAATAAGCAGTTTTCCTTGTCTGATTCCTCATAAAACAGGCTCGAGGGGCTTAGGGGGAGAGCCTGGGAAGTCTGAAGATGATGGTTGGGAAGGCACCTGCTGAGACAATTCAGGTGGGAAGAAGAAGTTAAGTAGGAGGTGACAGGCTGACAGTCCTAACGATCCCATCTACCTAACTGAGTCTCCCTCACAAGGGACAAGCCTCTCTTTCCAGGCACTACAGATACAAAATTAAAGTGTCAGAATGTATTTTTAAAGCCAGCAAGTTGCAAATTTTGCAGACTATTCACAAATATACACCATGCTATGCTGAACTATGGAACATATTTAATATGCACAAATGTTTGCACTGTATTTATGCAGCTCACGTTCGCCATTAATTACAAAAACAAGCAGGAATCACAAAGCTTTGGGGGGGGCTGTCAGGCTAGGTGTAGTAGAGCACACCTTTAATCCCAGAATTTGGGTGTCAGAGGCAGGTGGATCTCTGTGAGTTCAAGTCCAGCCTGGTCTATATAATGAATTCCAGGCCAGTCAGAGTTACATGGTGAGACCCTACCTCAAAAAACGAACAAAAAGTCACTTTCATTATTCATTAAATAGCATTTTCTTTTTTTTTTTTTTTCGGTCTTTTTGAGACAGGGTCTCCCTGTAGCTCCAGCGGACCTGGAACTTGCTATGTAGACCAGGCTGGCCTTGATCTCAGAGATCCACCTGCCTCTGCCTCCTAAGGGCTCAGGCTAAAGTCGTGCACCACCATGCCTGGCTAAATAGCATGACTTTTTTTTTTTCTTTTTGAGACAGGGTCTCCCTGTAGCCCTAGCTGGTCTAGAACTCACTATATAGACCAGGCTGGCCTTGATCTCACAGAGATCTGCCTGCCTCTTCCTCTTGAGTGCTGGGACTAAAGTCATGCACCACCACACCTGGCTATAGAGCATGACTTTTAAAATATAATCTTATTCATGAACTTTGCAAGTTTATAGATGCAATTAGAAAAAAATTTTTTTTTTAAGACAAGGTCTCTCGGGGCTGGAGAGATGGCTCAGCGGTTAAGAACACTGGTTGTTCTTGCAGAAGACCCGGGTTCAAATCCCAGCACCCACAACTGTCCGTAACTCCAGTCCCAGGGGATCTGACAGCCTCTTCTGGGCTCCTCAGGCATTTCACAACACGGGTGCATTTACCTACATGCAGGCAATACGCACATACACATAAAAAAATAATAAATAAATTTTTTTTTAAGTTAAAAAAAAAAAAAGACAAGGTCTTCTTGTAGCCCCAGCTGGCCTGGAACTCCCTATGTAGACCAGGCTGGCCTCAATCTCACAGAGTTCTGCCTACCTCTGCCTCCTGAGTCCTGCCTGGAATAGAAAATATGAGCCAGCAGGAGCTAGACATTTTTTTACAATGAAACTGAAGCACTATTAAGATGGTAATAGAGAAAACATCTTAATGATCGCTCTACCCCACTGTTATAATACACACTTAAAACATGCACCATTTTTAGCAGAAAACAGGCAGATTCAGATTTGACATTCAATTTTCTGGTACCTTGATATTGCTTCTGTCTCCCTGTAGTAAGATCAGTATTATTTTACCCAGGAACATCAGTCTTCCTGTCAGTCTTAAATCAGAAGCCCACTTTTGCACTGTTCTGACGTATTTAGTCCTTGCTCTCATGTGGTCTAAATGCAGAAGAGTAACCCACAGTCCATCACCCACAGCAGTGCTTGCTGAAAAAGCACACTTCCCACTGCTGCTGCCAGTCTCTGGCTGGCTGAGGACATGCCTGAGGTTCTGCTGAAGCCAAAGGACCAGCTCATGAACCATGGGTTCTGACAAAAGCGTCTCTGCTTGTTCAAGTAACTTCTTCTTCACTGCCACACACTGGGCCCTGGTCAGATGTTCAGAGTTAACGGAGATGCCCGGTAGACACGAAGGGTAATGGACTGGTAAATGGAAAACCAACTCTACTGGTACATCTTCATGCACAAGTCCTTCAGCTTTTGTGTGAATTCTAAATACAGTGCCATCTGTCTCTGAAAGACATCCAAAAATAATCATTAGCCACACATAATTCAAGCTCAATGGAATACTAATCAGTTAAAATCTCCCTTTCAAATGTCAATTTCATTCTCTAGGGAAAACTGAGTTATTTTATGAAGAGACATAGGATGCAAAGAAAGCCATGATTTACAGATTACCTTCTCCAGTCATAAATACCTACCCTCATGTGCTGGTGAACAGCACCACCCAAACTTATTTGGAATGAACAATCATTACTTTTTTTTTAGCAACAATTGTTTATTGAATCCATTGGAAGAGGGCAGATGGGATGGGCAGCCTAGGGCAATTGACCGAAATGGTGGGGCAGGGGTAAGGGACGTGCCCCCCAGCATCCAGATCAGTATCTTTGCATCACCCGCTTTTATTCAATTACTAAAAAGGTAGGCTTTTGTCATACAATTTTTGTCCAACCACATCTCACTGATAATTATGAAAATCACTAATAAACTTGTAAGTGTTCAAAGGTACAGTACAGAAAATGGGTTATGTCCTAAGTCGACTCAAAGTGTTATTTATGGTAAATCACACTGGAACCCTAGGGGGCTACAGGGTTTTAAGAAACTGCTGGCTTCGTGTGATGCTGAAAGTGTCTAGCCCCTCTTTGGACTCCAAATACATTAGCATCTGTGTAACAGGAAGGCAGCAAGATGAACTGAAATGAGCGGACATTCACAGCCCGCTGGCTTCCTGAGAAGGAGAGGAGTTGAAACTCTGCTTTCTTTCAGATTTGCTCGGCTTCACCCCTCTGATGGGCTCCACTTCACCCCTTCTCAAAAAGTTGATAAAACGTCAGGCTGACACATTCTGCAGGGGGCAGAAGCACACAGAAAGAAGAGCAGAGATAGAACCAGGTGCAAATGGCCGTGAGGCAAGCTGGCCTCTCTACCCACTTCTTTCCATATGCCCTTGTTTCGTTCCTCTTCGCCAGGTAAGCAGTCAGATCCTTCTCGTTTCCATACCTGGGTGGCTGCTTAACAGCCTCAACTACTGAAACCTGAACATATCCCCTTTTAAAGAACCTAACAGAACATTAAAATTGCTGCCTAGCTATCAGATTCCAACGACATGTGAAAGTCACTGTCACACAGTGATTCATATACGACCAAGCGCATCTGTTACGAGTTTTTCTTTAATGGATGTCAGTACCAGCTGCAAGCAACGACTATTTTAGGACATGAGCCAGAAACACAGGGAGTAACCATTCCAAAGGCATATTCATATAATTTTTTTTTTTTACTAATTTAACAACATGTGATCCTCTAAAATCCATCAGTTTTCAAAACCTTTCTTCTTTCACTTTTTCTATAGTGTGTGTGTGTGTGTGCGTGCGCGCACAGGTCAGAGAACAACTCTTGAGAATTGATTCTCTCCTGCCACCCTGGGATCTAACTTAGGTTGTCAGGCCTGTGTGCAAGTGCTTCTACCTACAAAGTCATCTTGCCAGCCCCAAATCTCTTCTTTCTTTCATTGAGTTAATGTTCTTAAAGATATATTGTATTGTCAAATAGGCTTCTTACATATCAGAGTCATATATTTTGCTATGTGAACTGAGCCTTTATAGACCTGCAGACAACATAGGATCATTAAGCTAAATAAACTCTCCTGAAATCATCTAGCAAATCTACTTTCTTTCTCAATGAAGAGGCACAACTCTGAAAGATTGTCATTCATTCGTCATTCAACAAACATTCAGTGAACACATGTCAAACCCCAAGCACCATGCTGATCTCTGGGCTTGAGAAAACAATGGGTAAGACACATTGGTCACAATGGTTCAATCCATGGTTTCAGAACATGACATAAAGAGCAGACTCCTTCAAAGTTATCTTCCTAGACATCTCTTCTATACCTACTAAGTCTTTACTTAGAGACACACATACATATAGTTATATAATTAGCATGTGTATGCGTGCGTGCATGTGTGTGTGTGTGTGTGTGTGTGCGTGTGTGTGTTGGGATATGGTACTTAATGACTTTTTTGTTATCTTTTTGAGACAGGGTCTCCCTGTAGCCACAGCTGGCCTGGATTCGCTATGGAGACCAGGCTGGCCTTGAACACACAGAAATCACCTGCCTCTGCCTCCTGAGTGCTGGAATTAAAGGGATGTGCCACCACACCCAGCTTTAATATATTTTGATACATGTATACACTGTGTGTATAATGTTCAAATAAAGGAAAACTTATTGATCATCTGAAGCCTGGAGGGTTCTTAAGCTCAGTGTTCCTCAGCTGTGACAAAGACCCATTGTGTACAAATATCCACCTATACCAACCTGCATACTGCCTTCTATATTACCGTTTAGGCCTAAAATACCCCCCTCCCCCAGGCTCATTTCTTTGAATACTTAGTCTCTGTTGATGGTGCTGTTTGGGGAGGTTGTGAAACTTTTGGGAGGTGGGGTCTTGCTGGAGGATATGGATCTCTGGGGGAGGGGGAGGTGGGCCTTGGGGCTGATGGCTTGACCCTACCTTCTGTGCAGTCTCTGCTTTCTGATCCCCATAGATGTGAGCCAAGAGCCCATGCTCCAGCCACCACAGCTAAGGGCCATCCCCCCAGCCAGGCTTTTCCCATGATGGACCATACCATGACACCATGAGCCAAAATGAACCCATCTCCCCTTAAGTTGCTTCTTGTGAGGTAGTTGGTCACAGCAATAACTTATACACCATGCAATGTGGACATGATGGGTGCTGTGCAGTGAGCAGTATCATCTAACTGCACTTGGGGGCACTGTCCTGACCCAGCAGAAGAGGCAATTGCTGCTGCTTAGGAACTGGCTCCACCAATTGACAACTTATACGCTTTCTTTTACCTTCTTGCTCTCTCCTCTTCATTCTTCTCTCCAAGAAAAAAAGTGTCTTTCTTCCACAGCAAGTCCTACCAGGGGCTCCTCCCAAGCCCATGTGACCCCTGAGGAACAGATCCTCAAATGACCTTAAGAGTAAAAATAAATTGTTTTATTTGGGCCAACTGTACTGTCTTAAACACCCAAATGAAAGTATAAGCAAAGATTAAAGTGATCAGTATAATTCTTTAAGAGTCCATGTGTATAGCTAAAGGCTACATAATAAGAAACAACACCAGACAGGAGATACCTTCCTTTGAGCTGTTGGCCATGGTGGCCAAGAGACTTCCAGACAGAAACCCAGCATAGAACTGGGAAAATGAACAGCAGACCCCAATCTTAACTAAAGGAACATTGGCAACTGATTGCTGTTAGATGAGGAAGAGCTGACAAGCACTGGGGAATGGCTGGGGGCGCTGACAACACAGTGGATAGTAACAGGGATGACAGAGTATATGGGCTCCAGTGAAGGGGTGGGAGGCTATGGGAGGGTGCCATTTGAGATGTGGGTATAAAGATGAATAAGATCGTTTGGGATGTTCTGTATGAAATACAAAAAAAATCAATAAAAAATAAAAATACACATACACACACACACAAACCAATAAAAACCACAATGCTACTAACTTTTCAACCTTCAGACCTATCTTTCTCTACTCTTTCATTTCCAGTCTTCATAAAACATAATTCTTACCATCTACAGTCATTTTCTTATTAACTGGCTTCTCCATAACTACTTGCACTATGACTTCTAACATCATTTCTTTCTAAAGCCCTGTTCTCAAACCTTACCAATGACCTCTGAAATGCTACTATGAAGAAAGGAGAGAACTTAGCAGGTCTGTGTTGCATAAATTCTACACATTCCCAAGATTAGCCTGGGAGATAAACCTAAGTCCTTGGCATACTCTGCCTGCCTGATAAAAATGTGTTTCATATGCCAGAGGGTTTGGGCTACAAGCCCAGGATTGAATAAATGATATGCCAACAAAGGGATTTGCACTGACTCTTCTGGCTCTGAGTTTGAAGTCAGCCACACAGGTGTGCATGCCTATGAGACTAAGGCCTAATAAGACTTTACTGTACTGTGACATCTAACTTTATTGTACTATAACATCACTGTTTTCTGAAGCTCCATTCTCAAACATCACTAATGACCTCCTAACTGCTACTGTGTAGGAAAAGAGTACACTCTACTAGTTGGCAACACTTTTCATGTACCATCATATCACGCTGCTGTACGAATGGGGCATGCATGCCTGTGTGACCACCAGAAGACCTTACCTGGGGTCTTGCTCCTGGTTTCTCCTGCACCTTTTCTCTTGGCTGATTTGTCTCTATCCTGCTAATATATAATAAAATGCAACTCTGAGTAATAGTTTTTCTGGGTCCTGTCAATCCTTGTAGCAGATCATTAAGCTTTTTCCTCCACAGCATCTCTCTTAACACCTACCTTATGATGCCCATGGTACTCTGAACTTGCTATGATATTCACTTTTTTTCACCCCTGAAATATTTCAATTTTGTTTCTAAACTATTAACATGCCCCCTCCAAAAAGAGGAGGAGGGCTTATAAGAAACCTAAATTTTACAGTTCTATAGGTCTTAGAATCACGCTAGCAGCTTATAACCGTGGATCTCACAAGGACAGAAGTCCTTGGTGCCTGCAGTATACTAATAACAGACTTAACAACATATATATTTTGTTTCTCCAAACCTGTGGTGCCAAAGAGCCTTTGCAGACATGATTAAAGATCTTGAAGTGGGGAAATTGTCCTGGATTACAGTGAAATGCCACGTGTCCTTAAAATGGGGAGGGGGTGGAGATTTTGCCACAGAAGAAGGCAGCAACAGACCCACTGAAGCATGGTACTGTGCTTCAGGATGTGGTGATGGAGGAAGAGGTCCTCAGTCATGGGACACAGGTTTACAGCAATGAAGCTGGGAAAGACAGGGAAATAGACTCCCCCAGAGGTTCTCCAGGGAGCACAGCACTTCCAGCACTTTTATTGCAGCCCAGTGAAACTGATACTGGACTTCTGATTTTCCAAACTCTAAGAAATTAAAGCTGTGTTGTTTTATGCCACCCCATTTAGGAGCACGCGTTGCTGGAGCCACAAGAAAC